TTTACTGGACTAAATGTTGGGATTTTATTGGAAGATGTAGAGATGAAAAAAGCAAGCTTTTTCCTGATAAAGGAATTCTTGCATAGCAATTTTGTACTATACCTGTTTACTTAGAAGTCAGTCCAACTGTGTCCAGAGGTCCATACTCCCAGTAAAATGCACGTAGAATTGAACTCTTAAAATTCCCTGAGAAAAGGGTGTTCAGATTTGAAAGAAGATGAATACTAAATGGTGTTTGATATTGAGGTTACTTTCACACACTTCTGGGCTGGCATACTGTTAGTGCCACACACACCCACACACATTTTTTTTTCATATGCTGGTGTATCTTTTGAGGATAGGGTGTTGAGGAAGTTGGTATTCCCTTGCTCCCCCAGCAGCACCTATCTCCCAATCAAAATGGGAAGGAGTCAAAGCAAATTCAAAAACGCAGTGTAGAACACAGTGGATGCAGGAAATTCAAGGTTTAGTCCCCGTGGTTGTGATTCACTTCTGGAAATATAACCAACAGAATACCATAGTTCTCTAAATTCTTTAATTTATTAAACACATCTGACATGTTTCAGAAGAGCCCATAATTACTTCGTTGGGAACAGATAGTACATAAAGATAATTAAAACAGACAGTTTTAAGGAAATTGCTAGTGAAGATATTTTAAAAATGTATTGTTGTTGATGTGTGCCTTCAGCTCATTTCTGACTTATGGTGAACCTAAGGTGAATGTATCACAGGGTTTTTCTGGCACAATTTGTTCAGAAGACATTTCACATTGCCTTCCTCTGAGGCTGAGACAGTAACCTAAGGTCAGCCAGTATGTTTCCATGGCTAAGAAGGGATTCAACCCCTGGCTTATTGGAGGCCTAGTCCAACACTCAAACCCCTCTCACTATTAATCATGCTGACTATGTGTTGGACTATGACTCTGGAGACCAGGGTTTTAATCCCAGCTCAGCCCACTGGAAACCCACTGGATGGTCTTGGACAAGTTACACTCTCACAGCCTCAGAAGAAGGCAAAGGCAATCCCCCCCGAAGAAATTTGTCAATAAAACCACATGATAGGTTTGCCTTAAGTTTGCCATAAGTTGGAAACAACTTGAAGGCACACAACAATGTTTAAAAACAGTGCAAATAATAGATATTTAAAAACCTGGTACATGCAAGCAAAAACATGGCTTGATTATTACAGTCACCCCTCCATTCTGGTAGACTTGAGATCTACGGTTTTGAATACTCACGGAAGGGTGACTTCCATTAAGCTCAATGGGGCATGCCCCCCATGGGTGCATGCCTGCATGGTCACACCCCATTCAAGCCTATGGGACTTGAATATCGGTGAGTCTCCATTTTCGCAGGGAGGTTTGGAACGGATCCCCCATGAAAACAGAGGGCCAACTGTATACCTTTTTTTGCAACAGCAACAAAAGATTCCCAGAGTAGCTTGTAAAAAAACAATAAGCAGATATTCCCTATCCTTAGGTTTGCAATCTTAAAGTCATGGCACAAAAGCAAAAGGGATTGGGCAGGAAGAGGGGTAGGATTGAAATTTAGACACTACTTCTTGGTTACAAATTTCTGTTTACCAGTAGTTACAATAGAAACAGTTAAGAAAAAGGAAGAAATCCCCACAGGGCTCCACTTCCCTTATCTCCTAGCAGTACATTTGATGGGTTGGCTGCCATCAGGTAATTATGGATTGATAGGGAAGCCTGGTGGTTCTGGATTTTCAACAATCAATCTGGTTGCCTGTCTCCATTTTTTTTTTTTTGTACTCCTGGTCTTAAAAACCACTTAATTTGCTTTGTGATTTAATTATTGCTACAGTACAAGGCATATTCCCTCTTTGCACAGTGGGCTATAGGGAATTTAAAATACTCTACCTCTGATGACATCTTGACTCTACCTCGAATTTCCCTCCACCCCACCACCACTGCAAGCTTTTGTTAAGATTTATGGAGTAAAGCATTATATAAACTTGCTTTCTCAGTCTGAATCTTTGAATTTGAAAAATTGTCTTCCAAAATAATGTAGTTTCATTGCATAGATTATTCTTAGCATCTCCTTGTCTTCCAATTGCTAGAGTCATCATTCACTAGCAGCTGAGGGAAAGAGAATAATTTTTCAATTATCTTGGCAATTTGGATGCTGAGTGTAGATCTGTTTCCACAGGAAATGGTATATAAACCATATATACTCATCTATAAGTCAATAAATATAAGCTCAAAAATGGGCTCCAAAATCCTAGGTCGACATATATGGCTCAATATGGTAATACTGCTCCATGAGCCTTGGGAGAAGGGAGGGAGGAGAGAGAGAGAAAAAGAGAGAAATTGGAGGTTTCTGTCCCCCTTTTTGCAAGACATGAGCCTTGGGGAAAGTTGTGGGGGAAGGGAGAAAAACTGGAGGTTTGTGTCCACAGTTTGCATGTCCAGACTGTGACCCTTGAGAGAGGTCCAGAGAGGGAGAAGGAGGGAGGGAAGTGGTCCCCCCCTTTAGATCCTTTGTTACATGCCCCTGAGTTTGACCCTCAACTTATCCATGGGTCATATCAAAAT